TCTCCATTGCATCGCTCAGCAAGCAGGGTGTCTGACAGCATTGCTCATGATTTATGTGCATGCTTATTAGACCCAGAACTTCATTTGATCATGTTATCAGTCAATACCAAGGAAGCATCCCTACCCTAATGAAAAATGAAGAGTCAAGAGCTGTGGTGAATATGTAAGAATCACAAAAAAGATATGTATCTTGTTATAGATGACAGAAGTCACTTAACACAGAATAGCTAGGTGGATAGAGTACTGGGCATGGAGTCAGGAAAACCTGAATTCAAATCCAGCCTCAGACACTTAATAACTGTGTGACCTTGGACAAGTCACTTAACCTCTGTTTGCCTCCATTTCCTCAACTATAAAATTGGAGTAAAATAGCACCTATCTCTCAGGGTTGTTTTGAGACTCAAATGAGATAATATTTATAAAGTGCTTAGCCTAGTTCCTGGTCCATAGTAAGTGTTATATAGATGGTAGCTATTATTATTGTTGTAGTTCTTATTATTATTCTTTATTTTTGAGGCATTAGGGGGCTTTAGAGATGATCTAGTCTAGGGGCTCATAACCTTTTTGGTGTGTCATGGACTTCTTTGTCACTCTGGTGAAGCCTAGGGACCTTTTCTCTGAATATTTTAAATGCATAAAATAAAATACATAGGATTACAGAGGAAACCAATTATACTGAAATACAGTTATCAAAAAAAATTTGAGGGGGCGGATAGGCAATGGGGTTAAGTGACTTGCCCAGGGTCACACAGCTAGTAAGTGAGGCTAGATTTGAACTCACGTCCTCCTGACTCCAGAGCCAGTGCTCTACCTACTGGGCCACCTAGCTGTTCCTATCAAAATACTTTTTTAAAAAGAAGCTCACAGACCCCAGAATAAGAACCACTGGTCTAAATTCAACATCCTCACTTTACAGAGGAGGAAGCTGAAGCCCAGAAGGGAGAAATTTCTTGTGGAAGTTACACAGCTAATTTGGCATCTTGGATCCCGGCAATACCATCATCCCACAGAGTCCTCAAAAATAGATAGACAGAAAAACAGACAGACAGACAGACACACACACACACACACACACACACACACACACACACACACAGAATGCAGTACATAACAGGGATGAACACACAATAAAGTTACTGAAGTCTCATTAAGATAAAATCCAAGAAACTACACCAGTATAGAACAGAAAGGCTAGCAGGGATTGGTTGAGGCCAGGTTATAAAAGTCTTTTTTTTTTAGGCAATCTGGATTAAGTGACTTGCCCAGGGTCACACAACTAGTAAGTGTCTGAAGTGGAACTGAAACTACAGGGCTGGTGTTCGATCTGCTGTGCCACTTACCTGCCCCGTAAAGGTCTTTTAAAGCCAAAATAGGAGTTTATATTTTATATTTTATCCTAGAGGCAAAGGAAAGCTACTAGAGGTGGGAGAGGAAGGGAGAATTGGTATTTAAGGCAAATTTCTTTGGCAGTTGTGTGTACTCAGACTGGTAGAAGATGTGAGGCTGATTACTGGTTACTGATTAAACCAGAAACCAGGTAGGAGATTATTGCAATAATTTAGGTGAGAGGTGATAAATGTTCTGGTGGTAACCATGTAAGTAAAAAGAAAGGGTCAAATGCAAGCAATGTTATAAAGGCAGAAATGACTACACAAAATTTATGGTCCATGGAGCATTCATTTGGCAATTCATCACATATTTATTGCCTTGGGCCATCTCTTGGACTATTCCTCTCTTACTTTACACTTGTAATTGTTGCTTAACTTTTCGAGTATTTTACCTAGATTGTAAGCACCCTCAGGGCTAGGACTGAATCATAAATCTTGCGTATCTCCACAGCACTGAGCGCCCACTCAATATAAGAATACATGATGGATGGATATGTGATTTTGTTGGCATGAGGTGTGCCCAGCATGGGGACTCCCACCAACATAAATGAAAACCCATCTATGACTCCAAAAGTTTGAGGGAGTTGAGTCACAGAGTTTGTGAATATCAGAAGTGGGATTTAAATCCAAGTCTTCCTGACTTCAAACCCAGCAATCTATCCCAAGGTTGCCTTTAGATACTCCATGAATATGTTAAATATGCCTCAAGCATAGTCTCAGAATGTCAGTGCTAGAAGGGGCCTTAAAGGTTATCTTGTCCAACCACTTCATTACAAATGGGAGAATTAAAACCCAGGGAGGTGAAGGTCCTAAGGTCACATGTTAAATTAATGGCATGAATGAATTGCATAAAATAAGTAGACCACTGGGTAGGGCTTAAAAATGTGCCTTTTATGTTCTGTTGCAATGGGATTTGTTGTAACAGAATTTGTCCTGTAGAAACACAGCAATCTTCAATTAAATGTAGAGAATACCATCCAGTTTCCTTTCTTTCTTGCCTCCCTAAGGATGTAGGGAGGTATTCATCTAAACTATGCCCTTGACCTGGGGTTTAATCAGTAAGCAGCACCTGCTGCCAGAGAAAGAGACCAGCCCCCTTCAGCCGCAGCGCAATTTCCTCAGGGAGAAGCTATGACAGATATGAGTGCAGGTGTCAGTATTTAGCACCAGCTATCTGAAGGAAATACACACGGAAATGAGGGCTGAGTTTCCATCAAATGTCTATTTCTATTACAGTAAAAAAAAAAATCTCATCAATTCAGACTCCACAGTGCTTTGCATATGAGTACTTAATAACTCTTGACTTGAATTCAGAGTTGATGGCAAACTTGTACAGGAACTGGACTGAAATAGGGGCTAATAGTGTTGGCCCAAAAAAAGCTAATCAAAACTTTAAAAGCTCATTCAAATTTATAAGAAAAAGAGCCATTCCCCAAATGATAAATGGTCTAAGTTCTGAAGAGAGTTCTTAAGGAAAGAATGTAAATTAAATCAATTTTGTGATTCTACTTCATTTCCATTAGAGTAGCAAAGATGACAAAAATGTTGGTGGGACTGTGGGGAAACAGGAACATTGATGTACTGCTGGTGGACATGTGAATGGGTATAACCATTCTAGAAAACAATTTGGAATTATGGACAAAATGTTGCTAAACAGTGTGTATGTACCCTTTTACCCAGCTATATCACTGGTAGACCTATACCCAAAAGAGATCAAAGAAAGAGGAAAAGTTCTTTAATGTACAAAAATATTTAAAGTAGCTTTTTTTGTGGTTCAAAAAATCCTGGAAACTACAACGATGTATAACAATTGAGGAATAACTGGTTAAATTATGGTATATGAAATGTGATGGAAAACTATCATGCCACAAAAAATGAGAAAATATTAGTGATTTCAAAAAGACATGGAAAGACTCATATGAATTGATGCAAAGTGACATGAGCAGAACCAGAAGAAATGTTTCTAATATAACACCAATGTCATAAAAATGAACAATTTTAAGGACATGTACAGACTGATGATGAATGAAATGAGCAGAACCTGGAGAACAATTCATACAATAACAACATTATAAAAACAGCTTTGAAATCTACAAAAACTGTAATCAATACAATGTCCATTTATGATTTTAGAGTAGTGATGATGAGAAATGCTATCCTTTACAGAGATGTGATTGATTTATGGTGCAGAATAATACAATTTTTAAAAAAGCCATTGAGGGAATTTGTCTTGCTTAACTATGCACATTTGTTATAAGAAATTTTTTTTTTTCCGACTAGACTGCCTGTTGGGTGGGAGTGAAAATAGATTTCTGTTAATTTTCAAACGGAGAGATGGGGAGTGCTACAGACTGGAATGTTGCATGCACTTTCAGATGAGGTCACTGCATTTTTACTTTTACTTAACTGTTTTACTTTGTTACAAAAGGCCTATCATGAAGTAGGAGTAATCTGTAAATATACATAATTTAAAAACAAAACACATCAATACCACTTTTAAAAGAATTTTTAAAAGAAAAATGCAGCTTTAGTTGCATAAATAAAAGTAGAATGTCCAAAATGAAGGGAGTGATGGTTCCTTTGTCCCTTACCCTAGTCAGACCACACCCAGAGTACTGAGTTCAAGTCTGAACACATCCTGTTAAGAGAAACACTGAAAAGCTGAAGCCTATTCAGAGGAGGGTCACCAGGATGTCAAGGGATCCAGAAATATCATTTAAAGAATGAATTAGAAACATTTCTCCTGAGGAAGAGAGTGCTTCAACAAGATATGACAAGTGTCTTCAAATATTTAAAGGACTGTCATATAGAAAAAGGATTAGATACCAATGGATGGAAGTTCTAAGAAGGAAGTTAAATGATTTAATATAAAGAGGAGGTAATGAGTTAATAAAGAGTAAATGACTCAGCACAATTTCTAATTATTAAAGCTGTGGAAATAAAGGAATGCTTATGAAGTAGTGGGTTCACCATCACTGGAAGTGTTTGCGCAAAGGCTAGATGAGTACCTAACCAGGCTGTTGTAGAAGACATTCCTGCTTCAGGTGGGAGATTAGAAAAGATGATCTTTAGATGCCCCTCGGGGCTATAAAATTTATGACTCTATAATTCAGACAGTCCTCGGATCATTAGAATTCATGTGGTTTGACTGAATTTGGGTACCTTGAACCAAATTATCTTCGGCATTCATTATGCCATTTCACAAAGGATCATGTGACACTTGCTTCTCCGTGTCTCTGTTTCTATCTCTGTCTGCTGTCTCTCTCTCTCTCTCTCTCTCTCTCTCTCTCTCTCTCTCTCTCTCTCTCTCTCTCTCTCTCTCTCTCTTTCTCTCTCTCTCTCTCTCTCTCTCTCTCTCTCTCTCTCTCTCTCTCTCTCTCTCTCTCTCTCTCTCTCTCTTTCTCAGTCTCTGTGTCTTAACCTCTGTCTGTCTGTCTCTGTCTCTTTCTCTCTCTCTCTCTCTCTCTCTCTCTCAGTCTCTGTGTCTTAACCTCTGTCTGTTTGTCTGTCTCTGTCTCTTTCACAAACACACACACACACACACACACACACACACCCAATGATTGGTTTGGTTTGCTACAGACCTCTCTAATTAATAAAATGGACACTCACCTCTTGCTTTGGACCAGTCAGCCAAGTTGACTTTTTCCCCCAACTCTTGTAGAGAGTTTTTCAGACCAAAGCTTCCAGATCAGCTGTCAGTGAGTCAGGCTCGCACACTCAATCTTGCCCTGCTTCCTTTGCCAGTTCTACAACAACATTCAATATGAAAGGAAAATGATCACTCTGTGCCCAACTTTTAAAACTGCTTATCTCAGGCAGTCCTAGCCTGGGTTTGACATGGAGGCTGGGTCTGTATATTCAGTAATTAAACTTTTTCCAACTGTGGCATAACTTTGGGCTGAACTAGTCACTTGCAGATTGTTTCCAGGACAACACAATCAACAGAGCCAGAAATATCAGTTGTACCAGTTACACGGTTCTGTAGGGAGCACACAAGCCCACGATTGGGCAAGTCAGTGCCCTCTCTGGGCAATCCTTTCCTTATCTGTCAAGTAACCTGGCTATCTCACAAGACTGTTATGAGAATCAAGAGATAACAGATGTGAAAGTGCTTTAAGATCTTTTAAACACTCCAAAAACCTGAAGTGAGATTATTTTTCTAGAATGATTCTTAAGACAGGTCCCAGGACATAGTCTCAAGGGGATATCACAAATGATGTATTTGGTTTTGTTTTGACTGGGAATTACTACACTCAAAAAATTGATAACTCTTCACTGCAGCGAAAATATACTAATTCAGATTCTTTCATCCCTTCTTCCTTCTTTCCATCACTCTTCCTCCTTTCTTTCTCTCCCTTCCTCATGCCTTCACTCTTTCTTCCTCTTCTCTCCTCTCTCTCCCTTCATCCCTTTGCACCATTCTTCCCATTTTCATTCTCTGTCTTCTTCATCTCTTCACTCCTTTCTTCTCTCTCTTCATTCCATCCTTTCTTCTCTCCTTCCTTCCCTTTTCTCTTTTTCATTTGCAAGACTCCTTTCCCCTTCTCTTTCTCTCTGCCTCTTCCTTCTCTCCTCCCTTCCCCCTTTCCCCCATCCCAGATAGACTGCTCCTTTTCTGCACAGGAAGAAATGCCAGCATGAGTCAAGAGGCTACCATGAGTCACTGATGACTTTTTTTTTTGCTACATTGTATTAGAAGGAAGTAATGTCATACCAATCAAAGAACAAGTCATGTTGACACTAGGAGTTTCTTTCAGTTCTTTCAGAAAAGGGGGAAACTTCTCCTACACTCCACCTCTTTGCACCACCCAAAGTAAAAAATGAATGTTGATAATAATTTCTCCAACTCCATTTTGGGAATTCAGAAAAATGCTGATTTCTATATTCTCTCCATGGCTATCTATAAAGCACACAGTCAGATATCTGTAAAAATTTAATTGTGAAATATTTATTTCCACCTGTTGTCTATCGATAAATTCAATTCAATAGATATTTATTAAGCCCTTACTATCTATAAATCCTGGTAATAAACTAAGTATGTTTGTTGGCCAAGGACTGTCCTAATGAAGTTTGATGGGGTTCATCACTAGGCTGGCTACAGGGTGATGAATTTTCAGCCTTAGCAACTCAAGAAGACCATCTATTAATCTAGAGAAGAGCTGTGATCTGGGAGGTGAAGGGAATGCAGATCCTTGGAATATCTATAGGATACCATAGGGAATACAAAGAGCATGGTTCCTGGCCTTGAGGAGCTTACAAAGACATACACCAGTAACTGTAATATAAAGGAGGAAATGACAAGTACTATTAAGTTCAGAGACAGACAGATAAATGAGAGAAAGATAGATACACAGATATAGGTAGGTAGATTGATAGATAATAGATAAGAATATAGATAGAGATAAGTAGATAGATTGATAATAGCTAGATAGGTAGATAGAACATTTATTAAGCACTTACTATTTTTGTTATGACATTGTATTAAATACTGAGGATACAATTAAAAGCAAGCAAGACCATACCTTCCTACATGGAGCTTACTTTCTAATAGTGAATCCTGGGAAGACTTGTGTTAACTACTCAGAGTTAAGTAAGCAGAACCAGAAGAACACTAATGCCTACAAAATGACAAAAGAAAACAACTGTGATAGACTAAATAACTGCTCAGTAACTAGTCATGACCCCAGAAGAGTGACAATTCTCTGTGCTTCCCCACTCTTGGCCACAAAGAGCCAGACACAATCGAAATGACTAAACAACAACACAACTCTTGGCAGAAAAAGAACGGACTAGCGTGGCAGGATGGGGCAGACCTTATCAGACACAGCTAAAGTGCAGATATGCTTCACTCTACTTATTTGTTAGAAGAGAGGGCTGTTATGTTGGGTGGGGGAGGAGTTGTGGAAAGGGCAATAATGTTGTTGTTGAGTTTTCAGTTGTGTCTGACTCTTTGTGACTCCATTTGGGATTTTCCTGGCAAAGACACTGAAGTGGTTTGCCATTTGTCTCTCCAGCTCATTTTACAGATGAGGAAACTGAAGCAAGCAGAGTTGAGTGACTTGCCCAGCTAATAAGTATCGGAGGCCAGATTGAACTCAGGAAGATGAGCCTGGCACTCTATCCACTGTGCCACCTAGCTGAAAGGAGGTTCGGAAGGGGATATATAGGCAAAGAATCGATGGAAGCACCCTGTTAAATTTAATATATACTTTTTAAAAAGCTGTACATAATAAATTAATTATTATATATAATTTCTATTCTTTTTATATGGAAATATTCATTTTATGTATGTCAAACATGATAATATATAATGTGTGTGTATATATACATATATATGTATATATATGTATATATACACACACATACACACATATATATTTTACTGGACATGTGATGCCATCAGTGTAGGGAGCTTTTGGTGAGGAACTCCCTCTCCTAATGCAGAGCAGCACCTTCTCTGTGACTTCTAGTTTTAGGAGGGGGGGGAAGGTGGAAAAGAGAGAGAGAGAGAGAGAGAGAGAGAGAGAGAGAGAGAGAGAGAAGGAAAAAGAGGAAAAGATAGGTAAATCGATTAGATAGATGGACAGATTGATAGCAGATAAATAGATATAGACAGGCAGATAGATAAATAGATAAACAGATATTTACACAGATAGAAGAAGTAGATAGACAGACAGACAGACAGACAGACAGACAGACAGACAGACAGATAGATAGATAGATAGATAGATAGATAGATAGATAGATAGATAGATGTAGACAGGCAGATAGAGAGTAGACAGATAGATACTTAGATAGAGGTAGACAGAAAGACAAACAAACAGATGGAAGTAGATAGATGTAGACAGACAGAAGTGAACAGATAGACAGACAAACAGAAGTAGATAGGCAGATAAATAGAGGTAGACAGGCAGAAAGACAGAGAGATAAATAAGTAGATAGATAGATAAATGATACTTCTGAGAAGTCATTTTAATTTAAAAGTTATTTTATTTTCATTTCCTAGGTAAATGGAAACCCAAAATGAATAATGTATGTCATATACACAGAGTAAAACTTTGTTGACACGAAAGCCAGCTGCTCAGAACTACCCTGGTAGTATACACTGAGCTAGGGAATGGACCTGCTATTTCACTGGTACAAGGAATGTAGCTTATGAGGAAACTCCCTGTACAGATTTGGTGGGTCAATCCCTTCTTTGTAGCCCAGAGCCACCACTGACTGATTAAATGATTTGTCCAGGGTCATAGAGCCAGTAGGTATCACAGTCAGGAATCTGAACCCAGGTCTTCCTGTTTCCAAGACCAGGCAGCCCCTCTAACCACTGAACCACACTGTCTCTTTTCATGTGGTAAGCACAGTGAAGTTTTACATTTTTATAGCCCTTCATGCTTACACAGTGCTTTCATTTGCCTGTCCTGGCATCTCAGTTAACTGAATAGTTTTTGGTGAAAAGTGAAAGAAGCAAATCACAAGAAAATGAGTTCATGTAAGAGATTTGAGGGAGAAGAAAATTAACTTTGAAAACTTAGAACACTGAGCAATGAATGCAATGATCAACCATAATTTCAGAGCATCTATGATGAGGAGTGTTACATCCTGACAGACAGGTGATGGACTCAGGATATGCAGAATGGAGACACAAATTTTTTAACATGGCCAATGTAGAAATTGGCTCTGTTTGACTGTGTATTTGTTTTAAAGGTTTTACCTTTCTTTTTATTTTTTGCTCAGCTAGGGAAGCAAAGGGGAGACAGGAGAGAAAGAATGTTTGTTACTTGAAAAAAAATTATGATTAATTTTTAAAAAGAGATGGGGGTTCTAGACTCCACTCTAGACTCAGTATGACTCACTAAATCCTTCTACACCTCCTCCCTCTTCATAGAGAAGCCTGAACAGATTTTAGTGTTCAGAATAGTAATAGATAATCCTAGAGACACTGCAATTGAACTTTATTGAACAAAGTATTTTCTACATGTTATGTTATTATTGTTCAGTCATGTCTGACTGACTCTTTTTGATGCTGTATGGGGTATTCTTGGCAAAAATAGTGGAGTGATTTGCCATTTCCTTCTCCAGCTCATTTTACCAGATGAGGAAACTGAGACAAGGTGAAGTGACTTGCCCAGGGTCACACAGTTAGTAAGTGTCTGAGGCCAGATTTGAACTCAGGAAGATGAGTCTTCCTGATTCCAAGCCCAGTGCCCTAGCCACTGTACCACTAGCTGCTCCAAAGATATATGTGACATATCCTATGATATAGGACCCCTATATATTTCAGCTGTGTCTGACTCTTCACTGACCCCATTTGGGGTTTTCTTGGCAAAGATACTGGAGTAGTTTGCCATTTCCTCCTCCAGCTCGTTTGACAAATCAGGAAACTGAGGCAAACAGTAATCTGGTTAAGTGACTTGCCTAGGGTCACACAACTAGTAAATGTCTGAGGCAAGATTTGAACTCAGGAAGATGAGTCTTCTTGACCCCAGGTCCAGGGCTCCATCCGTCTAAACACCTGCTTTTTGCATGGCACTAGAATGACCACTGGGAGCTATACAGCCAAAATGATAAACAATCCCTACACAAAAAAGAGAAAAAGATTCATCCCATTCAACTAACTATAAGGACCTTGAGGGCAGGGCTTCAGCGATATCACCTTTGTCCTCACAACTACACTGATCAATCAGTCAGTCAACAAACTGGCATTTATGAGATGTTCATCTTGTGCCAGGAACTATTCTGGGTGCTA